ATATCTGTATGCATTGATTAATAGTGCCGATTTTATTCCCCGCATAAAATCGAATCTGAATCACTAAGACAGCTTGAGAAGTTTTTTATATGGTATTGTAGATGGGTGTCCGCAAGGCTGGCCGCTGGTGTTCGCATTAATGCGTTTTCGCGACTGATTTTCTCACGATTATTTATAACATACTTTTGTCTCCGATTCATCAGCTCAACCGAATACCGATCAATCTATCGTTCACCACTCAGCAGTACCCAGCTCATCGAAGGCTCCAACGACATAATGACATCTCAAAATTCTCCAGAAAACGAACGCAACTTGGCGTACAACGCGATACCCATCAATGTGCGGCCAAACGTATCACCGACATCCTCCATAGATGACCAGCCAACGATTGGCCTGATTGGCATGGGGGCCATGGGACGAATGTACGCGCAAGCTCTATGCCTTGCTGGTTGGAAAAAGTGTGTCAATTATACTCACTGCGATCCATCGAGGAAGATGTTTACTGAGGCATAGGTCTCAGGATTCATGTCTGCGACCGACCTGAACGATTTGAACAACTTCAAAAGGATTACACTGGTATGTATCCTCTTCATTCGCCAGGACTGTTTCTAATTCTTATTTTGTAGATAAACCCTCTATTCGCGTGATGCATGATGGCCATGCCGTTTCACGGTCGTCAGACTTCATCGTGTATTCAGTCGAAGCTGAATTCATTGATAAAGTAGTTGCAGAATTCGGCCCATGTGAGTCCACAGTTACTTGTACTACCGCGATATCTTTCGCTGCCGAACCATCGATGAATACCACAGGCTTAATATTTTCTTTCCATTTCGACAGCAACGAAAATGCACGCTATCGTAGCCGGCCAAACTTCGGTCAAAGCACCCGAAAAAGCTGCATTTGAAAAGTATCTCCCAGAGGATGTTCACATCGTCTCGTGTCATTCTTTGCATGGACCGACCGTGAACCCGGTAGGGCAACCACTCGTGAGTCGAATTGCCTTGAAATTTCTCGTGCACGCGCCTCGCCATACTTTCCCTCGATCCGCAGGCAATTAATCATGTCTTCCCGTTTTACTAAATGGACTGGTTATTTTAGGTCCTCATTCGTCACAGAGGCTCAGAAGCAGCACTAACTCTCGTTGAGAACATTCTTCGTCCCCTTGGATCGCGACACGTATACCTCTCCTATGAAGAGCATGATCGTGTAACGGCAAATACTCAAGCAGTAACCCACGCCGCGTTCCTAAGGTAGCTTTTCCCCTCCTCTCCTTGTTGATTGATCGGGCATGCTCATAGCACTTCCAACTCCTCTGCCAGTATGGGCACGGCCTGGTTCTCTGCTCAATCCTATCCCTGGGAGCAGGGTCTCTACGTCGGGGGCATCGAGACCGCCAAGGTAAACCTAACCCTCCGTATCTACTCAAATGCATGGCACGTATACGCCGGCCTCGCGATCCTCAACCCCGCCGCGAAAACGCAGATTTACCGTTATGCGGCGAGCGCAACGGAGCTATTCAAGATGATGCTCGAAGGTGGGAATGGTGGGGCGGAAGAACAGCGCCGCTTCCGCGAGCGCGTTGAGTGGGCGAGAAAGGTGGTATTTGGCGACGAGAACAGCGCTGAGCGCCGCAGACGGCCGATCTTGCTCTCTGAGGATGTCCTCGACCGGTTTAGTCTCGGCGGGACCCCGACTCCACATCCTCCTCCCATCACGCTGTCAAAAAACCATATATGTGGACCCTCCTCGGGGTGCAGCTCACCCGTAGACGGCGAGGGGCTGGGACACGGCCAAATCCACCCGCCACCGAAATGGCGCCCGAACTCCCACCTCTCGCTCCTTGCCATGGTGGACTGTTGGGCACACCTTAACATCAACCCCTATATCCATCTCTCCCTAGCCGCAACCCCCATCTTCAGGCTCTTCCTCGGCGTGGCGGAGCACCTCTTCCTCTCCCCTGCGCTCCTTTCAGCGTCGATCCATTCGGCTTTGTTCGATACATGGCATAGGGCTGACGATCTCGAATTCGTATGCGCTGCACGAGGCTGGAGCCAGTGCGTGAGTTTTGGGAGCTTTAATGTTTACCGGAAGCGATTTGAGGAGACAGCGGCGTTCTTTGAGGGCCGGTTCCAAGAGGCTGGGAAGCTTGGTGCGGAGATGATCAAGGCGGTTATGGAAAGTGAGGTGAAAAGGGAGGAGGAGGAAGAGAAAGCAAAGGAAAAAGAGATGAAATAATGTGGAGGGTCGCTGGAAGTAAGTAAGAACTCCTAAGGGCAGAAATCGGGTGTATAAAAGAGTGATGAATGCCTGGTATTCGACTCATTATTAGCTGGTATCAAATACTACATATACACATTCGCATTATATGTGGCACACCATCGCAGATGGCTAAAGCGATGTGTCTGCTTAGCGTTTGTTCCCTATATTAATTTTCTATGAAACTCCTTTGTTCTTTCCCAGCCGTTACTGGCGAGTGGTACTCAAGTGGCATCTGCGCTGCCCATGCCTAACAATTATGGATAGAAGCACGTAACTAGTCGACCATCGAGGGAAGCCGACGATCCCGAGCGCCCATTGCCCATATGTATTTCACAGCGTAGGTGCTGATATGTGCCCTCGATAGCTCAGCTGGCAGAGCGTGGGACTGGGCTCCGGCGCAGGTCTTTCCATCTGGCGCAAGTTCGCTTACGCACCTGCGTAAACAGGGGCCTTTCTCCTACGCCTGGCTTTTGTGTGAGCTGATAAGGAACCTTGAGCTCGTCACCGGCTTGCTCCAGCCTCCGGATTTTTGCGAAGACTGAGAATGTCTTCCTCGAAGATGTCGTTTTTGATGGTCATGGCTTCCAGCATAAGCACAGCATCCATCACCATGACTGACTTCGGCAGGTTTCGAACAGACTGCTGAGTACTGCCATGGATGTTAGCGAGAAACTATTTGTGTATTATTTCCTTACAATTGAGAGGCGTCCATTCGTTTTCCTTTCATCCAGTGAAACTTCATAAAAACAATCATCTCAAGGCCACAGTCTTCGTCATAGCCGACAATAGAAAATTGGACATCCTTATACGAGTAAATATCCAGTTTGCATAACACTAAACCGACTGATCTTCCACATCAAGAACTGGTCTTCACCAGCGTAGTCATTCAACTCTACAACAGAACCCCATCGAAAGCCCATGGCGTACATCAAAGTTGCCATAGTCATGAATCATGATTTGCAGACGCTGAAAGAAAATAAGCATATACACATGAAAAAAAAAGGGTAGTCTTACTGTATACGACTCATTGAAGCCAACCTCCAAGTTCCAAGCCATAGCCAGAAACTCTGCCAAATCTGATTCACTCAGGATACATTTTTCCTTCCGGTCGGTGGCGATGACTTTCTCCACTTTGGTCATGTTGGCGACCATCTACAGAGTGTCACCTTGCTGAAAGCAATGGTCCCCCACCGTCGAAATTAGTAATCATCCTGTACATCAAACACTCACAAACAGTATCCTACGGTCCAAACGTCGAAAAATGTTGAGATGGAATGTTGGTGACGTTAGAATCACACATGACCAAACAGTATAGCACAGCCTGAGCGCCGAGCTGCATGCTCTCTAGGTCGTTTACCGAGTTCTATCTGTCCACCACTGTCAGCTCGCCGCCGCCCTCACTCCCTTGTCACCCCCGCGCCGCCGCCGTGTGCCCCTCCCCTCCATCGAGGGATGTGGGCCGGCTCTCAACTTCGCCATCGCCAGCACAACACACCACGGAATCAGAACGCGACTCAAACAGGTTCGCATGGACGGGCGGCAGCTACGAGTGTAGCCGGAAGCTATAAGGGCAACAAACAGCGTGCATCCCGGATGGGCGGCTACGGACACGAACACGGCGGACGACGCGCGCATGGCGGACAGACGCGAGCAGTGAGTACGTCAGGGCTTGCGAGCGGGCTGATCACGAACGCGAACACAGCTCAACGAATGGGAAATGAATAGACGGTAGCCGCAAGTACGGCGACACGAGTACGGCAGGGCGCAGCGACTCATACCCCACCATCTATACGTGCAAGGAGGCTGCACAGACACGCGCTCGCTGTGCGCTGCATACGCCCTGAAGCCGAGGCCTGGTCCGAGGACGAGCCCTGGCTTGGGCTTGGTATGGCCTACGGCTCAGGATCGCAAATCGGTGAGGTACTCTTCTTTTTCATTGACATTTTCTTTGAGCACTCATCTTGTCACGATTTACATGGCCACCGGAAGTTTATTTGCATATACATAAGTCTAGCTTTGCTCAGTTGTCTAGATGAAAGTGTTACAGTCATACACCGAACTTTCGTGAATCAATCTTTTTTTCCTTTGAAATCTCTACGACGACATCCAAGTACATCCAAAATTCGTTCGTGATTCATATTATACCCCGACAACATTCTATATACAATAGCGATTAAGAAATTATAAGATCTTTATACAAGTCTCTGTCAAAAGTGTGCAATAATAGGTACAACGTCAAACAGCTAGACACCATCCAGGTTAAAATTTAAATCTAAACTGATTGAGCCAAGACATACCTTCCCAACAAAACTTATCTTCCAAAAAAAAAAAAAAAAAAGAAAAAAAAAAAAATTTGTGCATATGCGATATTATTACATGATTATTACTGAGACTCACTTGGGAAAATGCTTACTACAATATGCCTACATTAAATGATTATCAATTTTTCATTATTTTCACAATCAGCAAGGTGTCGAGGAGACCGCAGGTCGACCTTTCATTAAATATAGCAAAGACAAAAATTGGCACGCATACATTAAGTATTTCTTCACGTTGTTCAGAAGTTGCCTTGATACAATAATGTGGATTACGCTAGGAGAATTTAGATAACGTCTCGAGAGTGACTCAAAACTCAGAGAATCATGTTGGAATCATGGTAAAAGTTCATCGTAGTCTTGTATTTCCAGCCCCATTGCGCCTCATTGCGCATATGAATTGCACTGTGTAGAGTCCATCATCTGCCCTCGATAGCTCAGTTGGCAGAGCGTGGGACTGTAACGGGTTACGTAATCATCCCGAGGTCGCTGGTTCGAAACCGGCTTGAGGGACTTTTTGCTTTTTGGGGATCTTTTTAATTTTTGCGTGTCTACTATCTACATAGCAGTTTTGGGCCCCGCAGCTTGCGGTCCGGCCCCTTCGGGCCGTCCCTTAGCACTGGTATGTATTTTGAATGGGATCGTATTAAAACTACTTTTTTGCTGATGGCTGTCTTGATGATATGCCCAAGCGCTCATGATCAACCTCCGAGTGAAGCCTAGGCACCATAGGTGATATACCATTAATATCTCCATCTAATATTCAAAGCTCTCTGGAATTTCAACCTCTTTGCGCATGCCGTGCTGCGCAAGGCTAACGGTTTCTTCAACTTCTACAGTCTCTGGCAGTGGCGGGCGCAATTAATTGAAGCCTTGAAAAGGGAGTCGAGTGCTTCAGCAACTTGAAGTAGCAGCCCACCATTGATCCGGACATTAATTCAAATTGGACGGGCATCACTTTTGCGCGTGATTGTCTGCACTGCCTGGCACGCGCCGCAGCACGCGCGTCATGACATGAATAGAACTCACGCTCTTGTTGAGCCTAGATACCGTCTTTACTCCTCGCCACCATGGCAGACAAATCTGATATCCTGGTCCTCGGTGCCACAGGCTACACCGGTCAACTTGTCACTCGATATCTCTCGGCCCACCCACAACGCTCGCAGTTCACACTAGCTCTTGGAGCACGCTCGCCACAAAAGCTCAAAAAGCTAGTCCAGCAACTCAATCTACCCGCGTCAGTGAAGGCCGTCCAAGTCGATGTGACAAAAGAGGACGAAATTGAGGCAGCAGTGAAGCAGACCCGCGTTGTCATCAACACTGTGGGGCCGTATTGGTTGTGGGGAACGCCTGTTGTGCGGTATGTGGCAATTGTTTCGAGATACGCAGACCCGCGCTCTAACAGCCATTACTTCAGTTCGTGTGTGCGCAACGGTGTGCACTACGTGGATTTGACAGGCGAACCAGCATTTGTCTATAAAATAGTCCATGAGTATGTCCTTACAATCTCCATACATGTGCGAATCATATTTACTGTGCCATATAGACTAGATTACTATGCTACAAAGACCGGTGCCATCATTGTCCCTGCATGCGGATTCGATTCAATACCCTCCGATGTATCCGCGTATCTCGCCAATAAAACGCTGAAATCCCTCGGCGCATCCTCCACAGGAGAATACTTAAATCCCGGCACCTCACGCAGCGCCCATGAGTTCCGTGGTGGAATCTCTGGCGGTACAATAGCATCTTTGATGACGTACCTTGACAAAACCCCAAAAAGAATTATGAAGGAGGCTGGAAGACCATATTCGACAAGTCCAATAATTGGCGTACGCCCCGCCTTCCGCTTCTTGTATGACCTTCCGGTGCCAAATGCAAAAACACTGAATGGGGCGATCTTCTTCATGGCACAATCTAATAGAGCTATCGTGCAACGAACATTCGGATTGTTCGAGTTGCAAAAGCAGGAAAGTACGTGGACATTTTCAAAATCCTCAACCGAACGATAAACTGACGGAATTCTTTTGTAACAGAAAAAGACAAGGAGTCAGCTGTACTCTCTTATGGCCCTCAATTCGTGTATGACGAATTTATGGTCACACCCGGTCCTGTCTCTGCAATGCTCTTTACTGTGGCACTCTTCGTAGGGTTTGGAATGCTCCTTTTTAAACCAGTGAGTAATCTTTCGTATTATCTTGTTCGCAGTATTTCTAATAGATGTTTTTAGATTCGCAATCTTGTACACAAGTTTCTTCCACAGTCTGGGGAGGGTCCTACCGACGAGTTGCGTATTAAATTCTTAAAAAATCAGTACTGTTTACTGATTTATGATGGTCATTTCCAATCAAGATATATGCAGAAAGGGTTCTTTAAGGTTACGAATATCACTACGGCCGCCTCATCGCCTTCTGTGAAGGTCAAGACGGTGATTAAGGGAAATGGCGACCCAGGTTATCTGCTCACCGCACGTAAGTGCCATTCAAATGCTCCCCTGATCCCATAGTCACTGCTGATATAACGCCGAAACCTATTTTAAGTTATGATCTCTGAATCAGCCCTATGCTTCCTCCTTCCGCCCGCTTCTGCCAGCAAGACCGCTGTCGCACAGAAAGATAATATCCACGCTCTACCTGCGCTGGCGCGTCAAGGCGGTGTCTTGACGGCCATGACAGCTTTCGGGGACGAGTTGATCCACCGCCTAGAGGAGACAGGTAAATTCGAGTTCTCGAGCTCTGTTGTTGAAGACGCCGATAGCAAGAAACGTGTTTGAATGATACCAGTGAGGATTCTTTTATTTTACTTGTAGATCAAGAGCCTTTGGAGGTTGCACGGCTCGTTATATATTTGGATCACATTTGGCACATAAACATACTAATTTCTAGCATATAATTCGTTATCTATTTAATCCTGGATGCATCGAATGACAACAACCTGGATTGCAAGTCGCTCCCTAGTCAGCACTTAAACTCCTGGCATACCAGCGTCCAAATACTATCGGGATGTCGATTCAAATTCGACTTATACCTGATCAGACTCCGAAGGCGATAGATCTCGATGATGTCGCCAATGCCCAACTTCTGCCCGTCCTGCAAAGACAGTGGCTCTTCACGGATGCACAGGTCCATATACGCAGGCCCAAGCCAGCCCTGGACGTCGAATTCTTTTCCTACCTCAATGCGGTCGGCGGACGTGACGAGCAAGTTTGAGAGCTTGGCAACGGCGAGGCTGCGGACGGAGGAAAAATCCCATTGCGTGGCGACTTTGAGCACGGAGATCCATGCATCTGTCCCTGTTAGCTCGGAGATGCAGAAGTCCCTGCAGGATTTGAGCATGGAAGAGCATCGTGGATGCGAAGGATGCTACGGACTTTGGATACAAAACTTCGAGAAAGCGCTCGAAGTCCTTAGGCGTGAAGCCCGAGAGCTTGATGGGCCTCTCGTCTGTTTCTCCCTCTACCTCGTCCCCGGGTGGGGGTGGCAGCGAGAACATGGAGCCGAATATGGGGGAATCGCGCTGAAAGAAGTAGCGGTGCACCTTGAATAACACGGTGCCAACCTAAATACCAGCGGGCGCATTGAGTCAATTTCATCCGGAGTCGTCTGTTGGTTCCGTCTGGCACTGACCGAAAATATGACGTTCCCGTCTGAGAAATAAAACCTTGCATGCTGGACATTTTCCGTGTGGGACCCCGACGCACATAGTTTGATGCACAAACTGGCTGGCCTGAGCTCCTTATGAGATACAGTCTGATTTAATGGAGTTGTTTTCGGACTCGAAGCCACTTCTCTCAGGTGTACGAGATTGGGCTCCGTCGAAAGAAGACGCGTGTAATAATCGCTGGAACCGAATTGACGCGAAGACCCACTGGCCATGGTTAGCTTGTTTCGAAAAAGAAATGGGAGAGGGAAAGAAATATTGCTAGAATTGGTGTCATGAACAATTGGAGTAGTAGGACATTGGGTGCTGGAGTGTTTCAGTCAAATATCTTTTGAGTGAGCATCTGAGACTCAAAGATGTTGACTATGATGAGCAAATGGCAGTCACAATCACTGAATTAAGCGCTCATCAACTTTCAAATTTAAAATTCTTTACTCGAAGATAAGACCGCATATGGAATTTGAGGGCATATGAAGTTGGTGCTCATATTAGTTTAATGAGTCAAGCACTGGTAATTGGGTAGCAGCATCCCCAGCATCCTTCAAACCCGCTAAGGCCTTCATCTTCAAGGCAAATCGGGCGTTCCACAGCGCAAGCAGTGGTTGGACAGACGACGCTGCAACACCTCCAGCAGCCCTCCGATTCAAGTCCAAGTTCAGGAAATGGGCAAGGCGGTGGTGCAGAGAAGCATTCATCGGCAGGGCAGACAATCATTCCCGATGACGATGTCTGTGCATGGCCCTTGATTATCGTTGCTACAAGAAAGATGGCGGCTGGAAAGATTGACTTCATGTTTGAAGTTTCGTCTGGAATAGGATCAGTACAAGTGAATTTGGTGGGTAACTGTGATTGGGCTTACCGAGGATCGAATGTTGCAAGTAAACACAAATGAATCGTTAGTTATGAGCTTGGCCCAATATCTGTTCTTGAAGATTGAGTAAGGGCTTCAAAAATATTTCAAAGTATGGCTTCAAAAATATCAGGACGACTTCAAACTTACCTCAATCTTCCGTTGTTCCAAGAATTCTGGAGATAAAAGCGAGGGACTGTTCCTCCGTTTTATAGCTTTCGACTTATGCAACCCTTGTTATCCACTTCCATCGCTACCATCCATTACGTGTATTTCCGATGCAATTCAGTAGCAGTCTATTGTGTACCTGTAACTCGAAAGACAAAGTGGCAAGCACAATTTGCCCATGATCAGGCGACCAGAGAGTTCATCGAAAACGATCAATTCACTGAAGTCAAGGGCGACATGCTTTGATAGCGGAATTAACGGGTAGTCGTCGTTGAGTCGTCGGTCGACCACTTGAAGGTGCAGCAGGTGGGCCTGGAAGAAAACTGCGTGGTATTGATTGAGCAGAAATTCCCATGCCGAAAGTCAAAATGAGTTTGATTTAGGAAACGGACTTGAAAGAGGCACTTTATAGACGCGTAAAAGGGAGCATGCAGAGTTCGCTCGCAATAGTTAAGCAGTCTGTACATCTTGGATGATGACCTCAGCAGCCTTTTCCGAAATCATATACACCGCAGAGATGATATACAAACTCGGAATTTTTGGAAAGACACTCGCATCTACCACTCGCAGGCCATTCACACCCTTGACTCTAAACTTGGAATCCAGAGCGGAATTAGAATCGTCGTCAGCACCAATGGGAACGGTGCAGCTGGCATGATGGCCCCATGCCTCATTCTTGATCCATTGTTTTACATCGTCTTCGCTTTGTATGTCAGGTCCAGGTACTTGCTCTATGAACGACCCTCCGAGCGGAATCATATCTTGGAACATCTTCCTCGCGAGCTGAACACCCTCGAATGATGCCTGCAGGTCTAGGTCCCCACCGTCTGTGTAA